CCCCGTGTTAACCCTGTCGCACCCCGCATTGTTAGGCACGTGCTGCTCTGAAATTGGATTGGCATTTCAAACAACGCTGTGAGTGAAGCGTGGTGCTGCGCTCTGGTTCACCCTTTTTTTCATGCAAATCCTGTGCACGCTCCGGCGCATCACAGTTCTACTTTTTGTCGCGTACGACTCTAAAAACCAACTGTTTGGCTGTTCGCACTGACGCAAAGCGTGCAGAGGTCGTTAATAGCTTAAGGGAGCATGTGCAAAGAGGACTCTGTAAATGCACGTGCAGCTTGCCTTGTCCCTTTTAAATCTCTGATTAAAAACGATAACTGTAAAAAGAATGAGGGGCTGATGCTGCTGAACCTACCATGCTTCGCGTACCGTTGGCCGCCAGTACCGTGCCTCCAGCATCGTCCTCTAGTGTGAGCGACACCATCTCTGTCCGGCTGGACTCACATCCCGACCTCGCGCCAGGTTGGGCTTTCCACCTGATCAGCCTGCGCGCCAAGTCTGCGTGCGGTAACTTGATCACTCCGCGTTACCCGGTCGCCGAGCGACAATTTCGCCGTATCGTCCGCCGCCCACCTGTCGGAAGTAAATTGAATCAGGGGAACGGCGGCTTTCACGGCCAAAGGTGGTGTTTGTAGAAGACGCGACATCTCAACAGTTTGAAGTGTGTCATCCGAGGCAATTTCTTGGATTTCCAGGGTCAGGTGGATAATTTCAAGATTGGCCCTTGAAATCCCAGACCGTCTGGTATGCAAGGGTTTTCCTTGAAGCACGATCTGGATACTTTAAGGGAAACCCTTGTATACCATACGAAAATTCCATGGATTTCTCTCGGAAGCTGTGGGCTTCAAGACAGTCAGGAATTTCAAGGGCCAAACTTGAAATTTTCGACCCGACCTTGGAATCCAAGTCGATCCAAGTAATTGCCTCGAATTTCAAGACATTCTTTTTACCGTGAAAACGTTTCCTGATGCACTCTCAATGTGATGCCATTATCCTTTTTCATGGAGGGTAGAATGCATCAAGAAAAGGCCACTCCCGAGAGGCATGAACATGTGGCAAATGTCATATTTGTTTTTCCAGTGTAGGGGGGACTAAAATGTCAGCATATAGAAACAACCAATAAAAGAACACGGACATTGTTTCAGAATTATTTTACGGTACACTCTTTGCTTATCGTCCTTTGAGGTTACGAAAACCAGGTCCATTGGGTCATTGAACGCAAGAATCACTAACAAACTAAAACTATTTTTCGCTTAAAGACATTCAGTTTCTTTTGAAAAGAGTTAAAAATAAGTACGGCACACAAACACATTTGCCGAAAATGACGATGCCTTAACCGGGTTAGAAGTAGAGCAGAGACAAAAAACACGCTGCATCACGGCGGGAGCATAGAAAAGGGGTGAGGGTGGAAGGGACATTTTCCTCTTTCACTAAAAAGTGGCAATATCGTAAGCATATTTTGATTTTCCCTGCACCTAGAAAAATGGATAGCTGTAGCAACCATCGTATGGTAAGCCAGGGACAACCATAAAAATATGGTTGTGGCAACAATCCTATGGCTGCGCCCGCCGACAATGGAAAACAGCCTAACCATTGTCAATGCTGGTGGAATAAGACTGTCGGCTTAACCATATTTTTATGGTTGTCCCTGGTTGTACGATGGTTGCTAGGGCTATCCATTTTTCTGGGTGTGGTGGTCAAAACATCTAGTTTATGTTGAAGCTCTTGAATTGAGCCATCAGTAAGAACGGATTCTTCAAACGCGCCCAGCTCATCTGCATTATTCGGTTAGAGGATGAGTTGCCTACCAGGACGGCGTACGTGAGCCCCTGGACCCCAAATCTCATATCGTCACGACACGAGTCATAGCTTTGAGTCTCAGAATGCTCGCGTTTAAGGAGAGGGTTATGCAAATAGAGCGGTCCCCAGCTCCTGCCCTCCTGATTCTTGTCTCACCCAAGGCGGTCTTCCGTCCGCAACCTTAGCAACGCATGCATGCAGAGTAGGGCAGACCTACTCTCTTCAAAAGAAGATAAAAATTGGTTTTCGGCCATCGATTTAAGAATGATGCAACTTGGGCTTAAACTCTAGCAGTATGAAAAGCATTCCGTTCTCTTTAAAAATCCGTAGAATTCAATTACGCCAATTTAAATGTTGTGAACTTAAGAGGACGTATTTTAAAATTAGTAACAGAAAAATTAAGAATGTCTTTAGAGCAGGAGCGGTATGATCGCCCCC